CCCCCCCCCCCCCTTGTTCGAGTCCACTCATCATGAGCACCATAAGGTGGGTCCCCTTCTCTCTAATGACAATGTGTGTTTCTGTTTTGTTTGAGTTGTGTTGTACTTTACCCTCTGTTGGGGGAATATATATCAACCAACACTTGGATCAAAAACCAAAGACGCGAAAGCTACCGCTACTCTCTTATGGTGTGAAAATCAAAGTAAAACCAGCAATATACTGAAGAATTAATGTTAAACAACCCGAGCTGCAGCGTTGTATCGGTACTAAAATAGCTGGTGCTTTGTGTGTCAACACGCGCGTGTACGTGAAGTAGCCGATATAGACCACGTGCGACGGTATTACCCCCCGAGCTAAAAATGGTGCTCTCGGCGGAGGGTACTTCTTCAAACGCGACTCTCGAACAATCACAATTTTGTGTCCCTTGCTCAGATTTTCAAGACTAAAACAAGTTCCGGGTAGCTGACGAGCTGAAGATAAATTTGCCATCTTTTCTAAAACAGTTTTTGATAGGAGCTCAAAGTCATGGTACTTCTCCCCCGTTTTACGAAAAAAGGCAGTACGAAATGAACCAATATGGTGCCCATTTCTACGAAAAAAATTTTAACTACTACAGTGGCACATAGTTAGTGGGAGCAATTTTTTGCTTTTTTTGGCGACAGTATTATTTTGGGAAAACGACACAACAGGGTATACCCTGGTCGAAAAGCGACACAACTNTTCCCGCCCAATAACAACCATGGCAAGGGGGCAGGAATCAGTTTCCGCCCCTGCGAAGCAACACCAACTATCAACTCTTCCGGTCTAAATCAACAATGGCAGCCGGGCAATACCCCAGCACAACTCTGTTCCGTTTGGAAACATGCACACACGTACGATACCCCGTGGACGACTGCTTGCTGCATGCAGTGTAAATGCGAGATGCACGGGTCACGCTATGAACGCGAGACCGATCCTGCATGGTTGACATCCATATATATGCACATATTTGCCAATGTGTCGCGCTGCGCTGAGCGGGCGGAGGGGAGAGGCAGCACCAGCACACACAGACACGCCCTTGACATCAACCATGGAAGGAGGAGCGAGCGGCAGCGCAGGAGCGGCGTCCAACTCAATCACCCTCCCTGTCGCTTGCCCGTGCTCGCGGTGTTATAATTCATCGACTCATCCGCTGAAGAAGCCTGACGTCTTCCAACTACATTGATTGATTGATCGGGCGGCTTGGTTGGCTAGTAAGAGCGACCGCTGCTGCTACAGCAGTAGTCAAGCAACAACCACATCGCAATTGAGACACAACAGACAACACACACACGCACACACGGCACAGGCAGGAGGGAGTGGCGGCGCCCAACGTTACTCGTGTAGTGTTGTGTGCACATTCTCTCCTCCAAGAAGCACACACAGCCAACATCAGATCACTATAATAGTCTATGGACTGTTGATGACCTTGTGAGACCATGTTCTACGCAAGCAACTGTTTTGCGGGCCCTTGTTTTGATGATGCAGTAGGTGTTATGGTTTTTGTGTTCGCAAAACCCACGCACTCGGGGCTCAAGCCTCACTCAACTCCACCACCATAACAATCCTGTATCATATCTATGTTATCATTTGTTGCATCGGTTGAACCCAACCTACTGCTGTTCTAAGGTACTTCCGACAGGTGGACGTACATGACATAGACTATATGTACACGTACCCACCGCTGTATGCGCAGCAGACAGCCGTAACCCCCCCCCCCAGTGAATCATGTAGAAGCTGCGACACGAGGCCAGANTCAACTCCACCACCATAACAATCCTGTATCATATCTATGATATCATGTGTTGCATCCGTTGAACCCAACCTACTGTTCTAAGGTACTTCCGACAGGTGGACGTACATGACATAGACTATATGTACACGTACCCACCGCTGTATGCGCAGCAGACAGCCGTAACCCCCCCCCC